AGACTAATTTTTTTATTTTGGTTCTATATAGTATTTTTGATGCTGGTTATGAAAACAGTTTGTAACTCGTCTTCCTATAAACCATATTTTTTTTACCATATTTTCTTAGTATACTCGTCGACGACTGAAAAAGAACATTTTGTGAAAATGAGTATACACGTTTCTGCCGGGGAAGGGGTTAACCTATGCCACCATCTTGGTTTTCCCCCTAGAATATAATGGCATTTTTTTTTCTTCTTACAATTTTATGACACATATAGCCATAACTACAGCCTCAAATTGTCTAGAGATAATTTTTTTAAATATATATTTTTATTGATTTCAGAGAGAGGAAGGGAGAGGGAGAGAATCATAAATGATGAGAGAGCATTATCGATCAGCTGCCTTCTGTATGCCCCCTACTGGGAATCAAATCCACAACCCAGGCATGTGCCCTGACTGGGAATCTAACTGTAAGCTCCTGGTTCATGGGTTGATGCTTAACTATTGAGCCACACAGGCCGGGCTAGAGATAATTTTTGAAGTATCAAAATAAGTTTTGTTCTTAATTTTTTTCATTTTATAATTATATATAACTAGAGGCCCGGTGCACAAATTCGTGCATGGGTGGGGTCCCTTGGCCTGGCCAGCGATTGGGGCAAATCGGGACCATCTTGCCCAGTCCCAATCAGGGCCAATCAGGGACTGCGGGAGGGCTCCAGGGCATGTCCAGCCCTCTTGCCCAGTCCAAATTGGCCGGACCCCAGCAGCAAGCTAACCTACCAGTCTGCGTGTCTGCCCCCTGGTGGTCAGTGCACATCATATGACTGGTCAAGCGGTTGACCAAATGGTTGTCCAGTTAGACACTTAGCATATTATACAGGATTGTATAATTTATAATTGCATCAGCTTAGCTGATTAATAGTCTCAAGGTACTGTAGAGCAAATGTGCATTATCTCAAGGGGTAAATATACGTCATAGGCAATCACAAGTTCTCCTGAAGCCATGAATGGTTGCATTCATAAACCAGCAGGTTCACTACACCACCTTGTCAAAGTCTCATAATCCTGGGAAGCAGGCCTTTGTACAAAGCTAAAATCCTTTCTTCCGGATAGACTGCTGCCATTGTTTTAAAACAGGCTCTGTATTGATCTCTCTATTAACTGGCTGAAGCCCTTGAATTCTACTTTTGGCAACAAAAAATGGGATGTTAATGACTGAGGCTATGGTGCCCACTAGAAGGCCAATCCCAAATTTTCCCAAAAACTCCAAGGTTGGAACCTTATAGATAAGAACAATGTTTTTGATGTAGTAGAAGCCAAAAGAAGCCATGTTGAAATCTCCATCACATCCCAAAGTTGCTGTAAATCCTTTGCTGAGGCCCTGTAGTCCCAAGTCTTTCTTCTTAATGATGTATCTTGCTTAACTCATAGAGGATGGTTGCTCCTCAGGCTGACAAAATAGGAAAAACCATAATTACTGTACAATAACCAGGGTGTTACGTCTGGGGGTGGGGAGTCGGGGGAAAGACATGTTGCCTAAGAAACTCACAGTAGTGGCAGAGTTACTACCAGCAGCCCGGCCAGCATGACTCAGTGGTTGAGTGTCGACCTATGAACCAGGAGGACACAATTCAATTCTCGGCCAGGGCACATGCCAGGGATGCGGGCTCAATCCCCAGTGTGGGGCATGCAGGAGGCAGCTGATCAATGAGCTCTCTCATCATTGATGTTTCTATCTCTCCCTTCCTCTTTGAAATCAATAAAAATATTGTTAGATTTGGTCAAATAATTGAACCAATACCGCCTCCCTGGGAGCTGACCTTTAGGCCATTTCACAATGGACATTCCACTTGCTTAGAACACATTCCACTTGCTAAGATCATTATCTCTCCCCTCCAGAGTTTCCCAGAATCCAGGCCTGAACAGAGAATTCTACGCCCAGAAAAAAAACCTGCCTAGAGTCCTTTAAAAACCTCTGATACCCTGTCTTTGGGGGCTGGTGCTATTTGGGGGCTCAGCCCAATTGGTATTCAGATGACCTAATCCTATATAATAAAACCCTAATATGCAAGTCGACTGAATGGCAGAACGACCGGTCGCTATGACATGCACTGACCACCAGGGGGCAGACGCTCAACCAGGGAAGCTCCTGCACTGAGCGTCTTCCCCCTGAGAGGGAAGTGACTGGTGGCGGTGATCAGGGGGGTGGGCAGGCCAGAAGGCTGCACCAGACACCAGCCAAGGTGGGTGCCAGCAGGGGCCCCACGATTGCCCTGCCCACTGGTCACCCCATAGATGGCCAGGCCTAGGGACCCTACCCTATATATGGGAACAATCTCTTAGATTTAAAAATTAAAACCTGCAAGGTTTTACCCTACCCTACCCTAACACTGAAAAAAACAGGATGATGCAGTGATGACATGCATGGACTCTGGCTTGCACATTTTGTGGTCAGCCCTGATTCTGACACCTATAACTGTGTGACACAGCCAATTACTTAACTTCTCTCTGCTTCAGTTTTTCTACCCATAAGATGGGGAAAATGGTACTACTGCCTCAGAAGGATCATGTTATGTACTACTTTTTATAATCAGGGCAAAAAAATGTAGCTGCCCGTCCAACAGCAAGATGCCTTTCACCTGTATGAAAAGTATGGTCATTGGTGCATGCAGTGTCCTGGATTGTGAGAGGATGCAGGTCCGGCTGAGAGACTCTCTCCTCCCCCACCCCCATGCACAAATTTCATGCACAGGGCCTCTAGTAAATTTATAATCCCTTACTTCTTTGGCCTCGTGTGATCCTCCTTCAAATATATTTTTTTTTTTAAAGAAAGAAAACTTGGACCTCAGTAGGTGTCCTCCCTAAAGTCAGGGGTAAGGGGATTCTCCTTTTACAAGGAGGTCCCTTGGCCCTGTGGGGGCTTTATGTGCTGTGGGGACTTGGTAAACAAGTTTCCAGTTAACATTAGTTTCTCCTTGTCAATAACTGCAAATGTTCTGGGGGGGTATTTTGAGAATTAGTTTCCTAGACATCTGATTGGACCCTGTAGCTTAGTGGACACCAGTGTGTCAGATTGGGGGTACAGGAAACATTGTTAGAAGAAATCTTTGGATATATCAGAGATAGGACAGAATTATTTTGTTCAAGTTTATTGATATATTTGTTGGATGTAATATAATGACAGCAGAGTTCTGTAAGGGCCTTGCATAAGAGCCTCAAAACTGACCAGTTATTAGTCTGATTAACAAATAGGATGAGGTTGGTGCAAGAAAAGTTGCTAGAAACGGAAAGGAAGCTTACTAAAAAAGTACTAGCTTTTTCAAAATTATTTTGGGACCCTGCTAGTAGAGTTAGATTTAACTTGAGGGCTGTAGATTGAAAACTGAGGAGGGAGGGCTCCTGTAGTCGGCTGTTTATGGCAGATCCAGCAATCAGAAAGTTCATTTCCATCAGCAACGATATTGGAAACGTTTAGTAGTGTATTACTCTTCCATTCTTTTCCTAGGGGTCTTGAGTATGGTACGGATATGAAAACAAGAAGGATAAATATTGTTGGTTAAAATGTGAATAATTTGAGTGGAGTGGAGGACTTGGGACTTTATTTGATAAGGATTAAATCCAACAAGGACAGAAAAATTCTCTTCCTGGGGGATGGAGGCTGGGCATACCGACAGGCTGGGAGTGTCAGAAATAGGAGGAAGACAATTACACGAAGGCCCAGCCATTACATGACTTATTTGTAACAGGTTCTTGTTTCTTGAAAAGGAGTTTGAGGTCCCTGATGGGTTCATAAGAATAGGTCTCAGAAAAAAACAAAACCAACAAGGACAGAAAAATTCTCTTTCTGGGGGATGGAGGCTGGGCATACCGACAGGCTGGGAGTGTCAGAAATAGGAGGAAGACAATTACACGAAGGCCCAGCCATTACATGACTTATTTGTAACAGGTTCTTGTTTCTTGAAAAGGAGTTTGAGGTCCCCGATGGGTTCATAAGAGTAGGTCTCAGAAAAAAACAAAACAAACAACAAAAAAAAAACAAGAGTAGGTCTGAGGTTGTGGTTTCTGTGGGGACTCACCGGAAGCATGTTTAATTTGAGATCTGTGAACGGAACTGGCTATGTCCCTGGGAGATTTGCTGCAGTTGGGGTGCTCAGTCGGACTTGATGTGAGTGAGCCCTTCCATCTGGGCTGTAGCTGGGACTTAGGACAGTCGTCCCTCCCGGTTTTTAACGAGACCTTGTCCCTGGTTGAACTTATCTGTCCTAGATGAATGGTGTAAGACACCAGCTGGAAGACCTGAGAAAGGCCTCTGCCACAGGTGAGTGCAAAAGGGCTGGCCTCCCGTTTTTCTTTAGGAGTTCACGGTTGCTTGGCATAGCTTGGCTAGAGTCCTTTTTAGGGTTTGATTAGCTTTTTTCTACCTTATTTGAGGATTGAGGTCTCCATGATGAGTATAAGCGATAGTTGACTCCTACGCTTGAGCTAGCTGTTATGTAATTTGTGCTACTAAAGAGGGTCCATTGTCACTCTGGAAGCTTCTTGGTAGTCCAAACCTAGGTAAGATTTTTCTAAGTAAGTACTTGGCTGTTTTAGTAGCGTTTTGTGTTCTGGTAGAAAGGCTTTAATCCACCCAGTAAAAGTGTTGACAAATACTAGCAAATATTTATATCTAGCTTCAGGAGGCATCTGAGTACAATTGATTTGCCACCCTTTCCCAGGGTATGTACCCCTGGTTTGTATTGGTGCCAGGAGGGGAGGAGGAGGAAGGCAACTCGAGTTTATTTTGGAGCAAAGTACATCCTTGGGTCACATCCTGTACTGTTTTCTAACGCTCTCATATCATAACCAGCTGGGAGACAAGGATAGCAAGAACACCTCTCCTTATGTGAGTGCCATCATGGAGCATTTTAAGGTTTGAGGTAACAAATGTTTATTATCCCTTGATATCCAGTCTGCCCGTCTCTAGAGAATCCATTCTTTAAGGCCCAAGAGATTTCCTCGTGATGTAGAAGGGGCCTTCTGGTGGCTGAGGGAGGTCAGGGGGCAGCGCTGCCTTTAGGGTGATTGAGGAAGACCATGTTGTTATATTAGCTGCCTGATCTACCAATGTAATGCCTTTGATTATATCTGTGTTCCCTTTTGGTGGCCCTGGCAGTGTATCGTTGCTATTTCTTGGGGGAAGTGTTACAGTTGCCAGGAGTTCTAAATTCCTATATCAGTGATGGCGAACCTTTTGAGCTCGGTGTGTCAGCATTTTGAAAAACCCTAATTTAACTCTGGTGCCATGTCACATATAGAAATTTTCAAAAATATATATTTTATTGATTTTTTACAGAGAGGAAGGGAGAGGGGTAGAGAGTTAGAAACATTGATGAGAGAGAAACATCGATCAGCTGCCTCCCTCATACCACCCACTGGGGATGTGCCCGCAACCAAGGCACATGCCCTTGACGGGAATCGAACCTGGGACCCTTGAGTCCGCAGGCTGACGCTCTATCCACTGAGCCAAACCGGTCAGGGCTAGAAATTTTTTGATATTTGCAACCATAGTAAAACAAAGACTTATTTTTTGATATTTATTTGATATATTTAAATGCCATTTAACAAAGAAAAATCAACCAAAAAAATGAGTTCACGTGTCACCTCTGACACGTGTGTCATAGGTTCGCCATCACTGTCCTATATGATGATTTATGGGGGAATTTTTAGCTGTTCAAGGTGCTCTTTCTTTCCAAATAGCAGCATGGGCATGTAATATGAAAAACCCAAACTTTGAGTCAGTGTAGATATTAACTCAGATGTTTTCCCCTAGTTGTAAGGCCTTAGTGCAGTGGTTCTCAACCTGTGGGTCGCGAACCCCTTTGGCGGTCGCCTAAGACCATCCTGCATATCAGATATTTACATTATGATTCATAACAGTAGCAACATTACAGTTATGAAGTAGCAACGGAAATAATGTTATGGTTGGGTCACAACATGAGGAACTGTATTTAAAGGGCCACTGCCTTAGTGAGTGCTGTGAGTTCAGCTTTTTGGGCCGAAGTGGTAGGGGGCAGGCTTTTGCCTTTACTGTTTCTTGAAGACTGACAATGGCATACCTGCCTTTTTGACCCCATTTTGTGTAAAATGATTGCCATACGGAGACTGTTCTGCTTCAGATTTAGGTAAAGGTTCATCTTTTAGGTCAGGCCTGCTGGACTTGTTCAATAGTTCCTACGCATTGGTGTGTGACCTGGTGGGCTACCTTCCTATTACTAGGAGGGTAGTAGGACTGAGAGTTTGGCAAGGCTTTGGGGTTAATTCAGGAGAGTCAAGGAGAGCCTATTTATTTAAGCCTTCCTCCCGGGAGCCACTGATAACCCTTTATTTTCTTGATGGGGGGCTTTCAGTGCCTGCCCTAGGTAAGTTTACCGACCTCTCCTACTCGGAGAGCAGTGGCAGCTGCAGCTGGTTAACAATGTGGCCAGCCGGCTACTATAGCAACATCCAGCGTTTTGAAAAGTAAGCCTGGTGTCCAATTGAAATTTTGGGTGGGGACTCCACATGTTATTTCCTGTCTTTCTGCTATATGCAAAGTAACCCATTTTTCTTTCCTTTTTGTTTTAAATAGAAAATGCTTCACAAATTTGCGTGTCATCTTTGCGCAGGGGCCATCCCAATCTTCTCTGTATCGTTTGAATTTTAGTATATGTGCTGCGGAAGTGAGCACAGTAATCTGTGTTTCTTAATTTGGCATGCCTAAACAGATCCACTGCTCAATTTCACTTTTAATTTCTCAAGGGCACGTTGGCATTCAGGGGTCCAGTCTACTGGCCCTTTGTCGTCTTCTTTTAAAGCCTTATAGAGAGGGTTAGCATTTAGCCCCAAACCTGGGATCCACAGGTGGCAGAAGCCAGCGATTCCTAAAAATTCTCCAAGCTGTTGGTTACTTTTTGGGAAGCTGAGAGCCAGTACGGCTTGTTTCCTTTGAGGTGACAGGGTCTGGGCTTCTGAGGTAAGTAGATACCCCAGATATTGGACCCCTGGAAGGTTATTTGGGCCTTTTGGGGAGATACTTTATATCCTCTATTTACGAGGAAGTAAATACCAGGATGGAATTTTTATCTGAGTTTTCTGCGTTAGTACTAGAAATTAGTATCATCACCATATTGTGGGAGGGTCCTGTTGGTCAACTGGAGTTCTCTTAATTTCTTGGCTTAAGAATTTCCAAACAAATGGGGACTGTCCCTAAAGCCTGAGGGAGTACAGTCCATGAATATTGGCAGGTCTCCCTAGTTTGGGGGTTAGGCCATTCAAATGTGAACAAGTACTGGGAATCAGGATGAAGGGGGATGCAGAAAAAGGCATCCTTTAAATTCAATACAGTAAAATATTTGGCTTCTCCTGGCATTTAAGGTAGTGTATGGGTGTGGAACTATACGCTGTACCGGCATTACAATCTTATTTACAGCCCTTAGGTCTTTCGCAAACTGGTATTTGCCACTTGGCTTTTGTACTAGGAAAAGAGGGGTATTGCTTGGGGACTGGCAGGGCCTGAAAAGCCCATGAGAAGCCCATGCTTTGTATATACACTGAGTGGCCAGATTATTATGACCACCCCATCAGTACTTCATTGACACTTCCAAAAATACTGAATATTGAAAACTTCCTAAGCAAATACTCTCAAGGTTTTATTATTATTATTATTATTTGCATAACTAATTCACTTCATTGTACTGATGCAGTGGTCATAATAATCTGGTCACTCAGTGTATATTTAATGAGAGGGTCGATCCCTTTTATGGCCTTAGGTCTTAAAGGGTGCTGTCTTTTTTTAGGGTAGGGTGTCCCTGGTTTTGCTCCTATTGCCCTGCCCGGTATTCCAGTTTTCCATACCTCAGGATTGACTTAGAAGAGGACAGATTCTAGAACAAGCATGTCAAACTCATGGCCCACAATGAATATTTTTGCAGCCCGGCCAATATAATGGTCTGTAAGAAATATTTTAATAAAAATTTCGTAACGTCATTTTTACAATATCTTGTTATACATAATTATTAATAACGAACTACAACGTTCGCTAATGGCTAATGGCTATAATCGTGTTGCATTCATTTTCCTTACTTGCCTTACACGCAGGTGCACCATTTCTCTCCACTAATACTAGCAGCAAATATTTTAGCAGCCGATTGCCACATCAGTCTTGTACTGACTTGTTTGGTGTGGGCAACAGGAAATATTTCGCTTTTGGAAAACAAGGAAAATAGGCTTATTTGAGTTAAGCTTATTCATTTGTGCAGTTATTCGGTGTCTGGTAAGTTGATGTTCAAGAAAAAATTAATTTTTATTAAAATGTTCTATTATTTTATGTTGACGATTACTTGTTTATTTTAGCCCTTTGTATTCAGCATGTCTCTATTGAAATAAACCTACGTTTCTATGAAAATTGAAGCTTTTGTTTTTTTGCGGCCCACGTAAACTTAAACCTTGTTTATTTGGCCCGTGTTAGCCTTTGAGTTTGACAAGCTTCTTCTAGAATATTATTAATTTTTGGTTCAGGGTGAGAAGTTAGGTTGGCCATCAGAAGTAACAATGAGAGTTTATTATCTTCTATGGTCACTTCTAGACTAGACAAGCTGTCCCTCCCTAACTAATAAGGGAATAGAGCACCCTGGAACTACAAGAAAAGTATGACTAAAAGTGAGATTCCCGAGGCAGCAGCCGAGGGGTTGAATGAAATGGATGCCCATTCACCCCAGTGATCCAATGGGTTTTGGAAGAAAGAGGCCCTGGTGAGTGAGTCAGCAGAGTAAGCAGTCCCTGTGTCTAATAAAAATGAATGGGCTTACCTGTCACATCAGTCACAGGAGACTCCTCTGGTGTGATGGCTTCAGATGGTCGGTGGGGGCAGTAGGAGGCCTCAGGCACCATCAATTCTCAGGTGTTTTAAACATCATTGGTTTGAGGCACTAAGTTCCCTTAGAAGCCTAGGACACTCACTTTCCAAAGGCCTTTCCTGGTGCAGATGGGGCATGGTCCTGGAGGTAGTCCGTCCTGAGTTAGTTGTAGGCACTCCTTTAGGTGTCCTTGTCTACAGGACTAGCAAAGGATTTAAAGCTGCAGCTATCAAGTAATTATGCCTTTTGTTTCCATCTGGTGGCTTTTTTGCTCTTCCCCTTCCCTGTCTTGGTTGCTAAAAACACTGAAAGCCCTCTCTATCTGTTGCTCAGTGCGGATCTGCAGTCCCAAGGCTAGTTTTTGTAACTTTCTCAGGCTGACTGGGCTTGCCTCATGGATAAAAGGCATTTCCTGGAGTGCTGGGCCCTTAACAGACTGAGT